GAAGAGAATAAGAGGAGATTGATACGATACCAAACTAGGGTTTACGATGAAGATCCAGAAGAAGACAGACCTGCATCTTTCAGATTGCGCAAAACACAGCGACTGTAGCAGAAGAAGAACGAATTGATGATCCTATATGCCGCTATATGTGATAACCCGATGCTTCACGAAAACGTCGTCGTTTTATCAAATCGCCATTTTTATTTGCGAAGAAATTAGAAATATGAAAAAGTTGCAAACTTTAAACTTTGTATTTTAAATTGACACGTATATATAAACATTACTATATTGATATTTACACCACAAGTTTTGTATTAATTTTACACATTTTTATTTTCGTCGTTGTGCTCTCTGTAAAAGCAGCAAATTCAACCATTCATGCCTCTCATTGTTCCACTGCTCAGCAAATGCATCTAATTGTTGTTAACCGGATATAACCACACGGTACCGGTTTGGTTGAACCGAAGATTAGTTCTTAATTCGGTAAACCCTAAACCGGAACAGAACCTAACCAGAGATCTGTACCACTTCCGACAAGACCTAAAGCACATTTGTATTGCACTGAATTTCTTCTTGAACCTTTTTGGTTACAACAAGTTCAAACCCAAACACCAAATCTCTCTTCTTTGAAACAAAAAAAAAAAAAACAAATACAAGAACATAAAAAAAGGAATATTTACTCTTTTTTTTGTTTGTTTGTTTTCCAACTAAACCTTTGAACAAGAGAAACAAGAATCAAACATCCTATGTGAAATGTTACAACCCTTGAAAAAGAAACCCTCCTTCCTCTATCCACAGAATCAAACCAGAGAGGCCTTTGCCCCTTTGAAGATGAAACTCTCTACTTTCAAACAGTCGAATTCGTTTTTTTTTTTTTTTGGTGGAGAACACAAGACGTTCACCGAAACAAACAGATAAGAAGAATTCGAAGTCGGGTTTAGGCTGTGCAAATCGTTAAAAAGAAAAAACGGGTCACGAAGAAGAAGAAGAGGAAGGGGTTCAGCCGGATGACCCGGACTTACCCTCTTTCTCTGCCTCTTCTATCTGCGGTGGCAAGAGGTTCATGAAGCTCCCATGGTGGTTGGTTGCGGTGGCTTTTTCGTCCTCTGTAAAAAAAAATTTTTTTGTTACCACTCTGATCACAGACCCATTAGCCATGCAAGGAGATCACGGATTGCCAAGAACAGAAAAGAAAGAACCGTGAATTGAAATGATATGTTTGGTAATGTTTCGAAATCGGATTTTGTATGTTCCTTCAATTGATAGAATGGTAAAGCGAGCATTTTTACCAAAGAGGGATTTGATTGAAGGCCGCTTTGGCTTCGTGCTCTTCTTCTTCAACTCAGCTGGCACATAAACAAGGAAAGAATCAAATATACATAAAGAAATTTGATATCTTTCCCCTACAAAATCACTGGAAACCGAAAAACAGTATAGTACCGATCCCTGGTAACTGGTCATCGTTTACGATTTCAACATTCTTGTAAGTATAACCCACAAAGTTTATGTCTTTGGATGAGAGCATCTGCCAAAGAACACAAAAAAGATACCAGCAGGTTAACAAAGCTAAGAATAACAAGAAAACTATGTAATTCCTTCTTTATGCACTAATTCCACATCTTTTCGAAAGTTCCTTTTCACTTTCGTGTTAAGCCCGAGGATTTGCAGCACGAAATGAACACGAGGAATAATAACAACAGCATCATTCCCGTTTATAAATTTTGACAATGAGATTTGAACCTGACAGATAGATCAAATCATGTCTTTGAAGAGTAAATATCAACAGAAGTATGGTAACAAAGATATATTATCCTAGACGTTGGTCTAGGAATCTCTTCAGAAGGTGAAATATGGAATTCACAACCCTTAAATGATTGCCCATGTGAACTATGAAGATCACCAATTGTTCAAATGTCCAGAAAACTGCTGAATATATTCATATTTCTGGGACATTTCTCACATTTAATATTTACGACAATATTTGATTATGCAGATCCCACTGCATTGATCCTCTCTCATGGAGTCCAAGTATGGTTATAATCTATCTACGAGGCATGAGAGAGAGACTAAATTTGATGATGCATAGAAATAGTAAGACATAATGCAGAAATTGATCCTTACCTTTCTCCATGGACCTGACTTTGTTGATTTCGGAACTTGGTTGTCAGTCTGTGCCAAAAAGGATCGAGAAGAGAATAGTAAGAACTTTTTTTAATAGGAAGCAGAAATCGAACAAAACAGCACTGATTATCTATCATTCACTCTTCCTTTTCAACAAAAAGGGATTTTTGTGGGATCAAGGTTTCCATAGTAGATACTGTCAACAAGTAGATTAACATTTCATCAGTGTGACCATTAATATATACTCCTTGAACTGATTACCTCTTCGAATTTTTCAAAATTCTGGGTGTCCAACTCATCATTGACTTGAGGAATAAAGGCAGCTTTCATTTGATACAGTTTGTCCCATTCGACGCCTCTGAACCACGGGTGAGTCTAAAAGAAATCACAGCCAAAGTGATCAACTCGAACTGTCTCAAAAATTCTTAAACAAGATTACTTTCGAGTCTCGAAATGGAATAAAACCACACTAAACCTTAATTTCATCTGCTCCTTTTGTTCCAAGCCTTTGTTCAACATTGCATAGAAGTCTGCTGATAAGATCCTTGGCCTCCGGTGATAGTCTAGCCTCCTCCGGGAATTTCAAATAGTTTCTCCAATTTACTATCTACATAATGGAGAACAAGAAAATCACCACAGATAAAAACAAATGAATCCTTGGAAAAAATCGGAAATAAATATTCAAGATAACTCAGATGAAGACGTCCTCCTATATTCCCAAGGACGGCAAAAGGTAAGAGAACGGACAAATTTACCTTCCGACACGTTGTCATTGGATCATCTGAATAAAACGGAGGATAGCCCACAAGCATTTCATACATAATGGCACCGAGAGACCACCTAAAGAGATCGACACAATGAACTATTTGAGTAAAAAAAACAGAACAGAGAAAGACCGAACAGTTGGCTGCACCTACCAATCACATTCCATGCCATATCCTTTCTTCAGCAAAACTTCTGGGGCGATATAATCAGGAGTTCCAACAGTAGAGTAAGCCTGAAAAGAGATATGATTTATGTAATCTGTTATATTCATGCCAAAATAAAAATGGATATCTCTTAGTTTACAACAGATGAGGCACAAGCATGAAAACTCACAAGCATCCTTCTATTTCTCTGCCAATTCTGAAGCTGTTCCTGTTGTGTGCGTCTTGGTGCTGCAGGCCGACCATCGCTTTGGAGAGCCCCACTAAGATTGTGTGTGACCGAAAAATCTTTTTCCTGGAGATTACTACAGTCTAACGGTTTACATAATCCGAAATCTGACAATTTCATGTGTCCATTTCTGTCAAGTAGCAGATTATCAGGCTTGATATCTCTGTAACACATCAGCCAAAATAACGTATAATCAGAAGAAATGAACAAGATGCGGAAGCTAATGGAAATGGCAATCCATGATGCATGCTTAACTGACCTGTGGATATAGTTGTGCTTATGAATGGACTCGATAGCCAGGACAGTCTCTCCAACATAAAACCTGGCCTCGTCCTCAGTAAGTGTATCTTTCCTCATTAGCAATGTCATCATATCCCCACCAGGGAGATACTCCATGATTAAATACAAGTATTCTTCGTCTTGGAAAGAACAATACAGTTTGACAATGCAATTACTGTCGACCTCCGCAAGCAAATTTCTCTCTGCTTTCACATGTTCCACCTAACAAAAACAGGTTTCAACAAACACAAAAAAAAAGAGAGAGAATTATCAATTGCAAGGAAGCTGGAAGGAATTTGACTACCTGGCCTCTGCGGAGCATCTCAGATTTCTTCAGCTTCTTCATTGCATATACATGGCTAGTTGCCTTCTCCCTGCAGATCCTAACCTGCATAGATACAAAGAAAACTCAGCCATTTCAAAGCATAAAACAGGATATATAGTCAGAGCATTCAGGAAGAAACATCCCAAGAGAATCCAACAAGAATGAAAAAGAAGCGGCGGGCAATATGTATTAGACCACTGTCCACAAAGCCATATGATTTTCTATCTTCTTATGCTCATACACAAGGGGTTAGGTGGTACAAGAAAATTTTAGCAAAATATCGCCGTCCGGCTATTTTTGTCAGTATGCAAACAGAGTAAATTGAGTGATGGATACTTAAGAATTGGAAAAGCTAGATCTTCACAAATATATATTCTCAGATATAAAATTTTTTAAATCCACCAGCCAGCCAAAAATCAAGATCAATACGTGCACACACATACCACACATTACATGTGAGTGTGTATATGCGTAGGTTCCTACTCCCTAGGGGAAATAGCCTTTTGCACCATTAAAAAAAACACTTTCGAGAACATGTGAATACAAGCACGTCATACAAAATTGATCTATATATAAAAGAGATGCAGCAAAAAATTACAAACAAATATTCTACCTCTCCAAATGCGCCTTTCCCAATCATTGTCAACGGTTCAAAGTCATCAGCTCCCATTTTATGCCTTTGACGACGCATATACTCCGTTTCCTTCTTCTCCAAATCCTTCCGTAAGTTGTTCTGCTCCTCCTCAGAGACATCAGCAGCAGCTAATTTCTTTTCTAGCATATTCCGCCTGCATCAATTTGCAATTGCAACAAAAAGAGGAGGATCGATTACATATATAAATTGTAGAAAATGCAAACAGAAGAAAAGGAAGCCTTTGCTATTCAGGCAAAAGGAGACGATTGAAATACTTCCCAGTAACCGAAACAAATGCTGCAAATTGACAGAGAAGAACAACTGGAGTGTTTATGTCAGGACAAACAGTCAGCTGTGCAAGAAATAAAGGTTCCTTCAATGGTAAATACTTATCCGCAAGCAAGGCACGTGACATTAAAACATTGATTTTATCGGGACAAATAAAACCACGTTCATTCTAAATCTAAAAATCTCTGGCCAGGAAAAGTTGCATTCTATTTCACATTTCCTCGGCACATTCAATCTACCTAAGGATAGTACTTTGTTTCCTAATTCCTCCAATACGGCGGAAAAGTATGTGGATAATATTGGAGTTAAGTGAAACTTTTATGAGTGACAATTAGCATGCCCTGAATTAAGGAATCGATTACTACCAAACCACAATTTTCTTAAGTAGCTAAAAACTAGAATCAAGATCTTGAAGAATTGCTAGTTAAACTACTCCATCTGAAAAACATATAATCTCCATGCAAATAAATATCGCAGAGGAAGGAAATTACTTAATGTCATACTCAAAGGCTCACTTTGGATGGCAACCCTTATCAAAACCTTTTTTTTCTAATTGTATATTTACTCGAATATGAACCAAAAGCACACAGACAATCAAAATTTAGGTCAACAGAGCTCGTATTCTTCGGATATATAGAAAATCAATGAGGAAAGATTGATGCAAACAAACGAAAAACTTTACTTATACATGCAAACACCAGTACCATGAAAATACGTAATAATATCGTACCGCTCCTTTCTTTCCTGCAGACTCTGCATTTGTTTTTTATAATGATTCTCGATATACTGTTTAGCAGCTGCAGCCTTCTGCTTAGTTACGCTTGACAGTGCTTCTTCACCAGCTGCTTTCGAGCCCTCCTTTACATTACTCGCCGTTTCTTTCTTTTTCGAGGATTTCACCTTGTCTTTAGACTTTAATTTATTCAGCCAAGATCTGGCAGTTTCCATTTTCTCACCCTTCTACTTGCTCCAAAACCAGAAGATCTCGGTATAAGCCTCACTAACAAATCAGCAGAGAGTTCGATATGCCTTAATTGTGAATTTCGCTCGAGCGATGAAGAACAATATTCATATGTCACGTTTCGAGAGAACCAATACCTTGTGCCTTGAACCTACAAACCCAGATAACATACATTAGCTTAAAACGACTCCTACAACAGATCTATGGAAGCAAAGACCAAAGCATGAAGTTTTAGATTGATTCTCATCTATACAAGCACAGATAACTTTCCAAGTAAATGCTAAAGAATACCCAAAAGGACACCAATCCGTGTCAGAACACAACACAAAACGCTGAAAGTGTGTCCCTTTTGCATGAACGCATGAACATGGTTGGTCAAAACATGGAAATATATCGAGAATTCCTAATCATGGAAAATAGTTCAGAATTATGTAAAGACTAAATTCATAAGCAGAGGCAAATTAGGCAAACAAAAACAGCCCGAAAAGAGCTCAAAAGAGCCACCTTTTCATTTCCAGTATCTGGAACTCTATCACTGGCGTAACCTATCAGTACATTCCGGAACAATGACATAGCTTGATACAAATTACAGAATTTCCCAGAATCGCTTAGCAATCATAACTCAATTCGACGATCAGTATACCTATTCGATCAAAAAGAGCAAACCGATGCGCAAATCATAAAAAGGTATCAAATCTACTACGCTGAATCCGTGGGAATTCAGCAATCAAGCGGGAAACCCTAAGTTGGGTCAGTGAAAACGCACCAAAACTCAAATCGGGCGGTTCCAGAAATGCTCGATTCGCAGAAAGTGAAATGGATACAGAACCTCAAGAACTAACAGCGAGATTAAGAACACTGAGAGAGAGAGAGAGAGACCCGCAATTTGTGGTGAGAAAACAGCGCCAAAAGGGGGGAAGAAAAACCTCGAATTCGACGACTCGATTCCCCAATTTCTCCTCTTTGGTCTTCGATTTCTGGGTAGAATTTTGCAGAGAAAGAAGAAAGAAAAGCTCGAAGCTTTTTCTTTTTAGTATGTTTTTTTTTTCGCCCGTTCGATCTGTTCTTCTGTGGTTCTCTTCCCAGTTTTTTTTTTTATTTACTTCAACTGCTTTTTGGACATTATTTAAATTTTTGGGATCAGGCACTTAGTTATCCCTTTAATTAACCTGATATTATGGGGTTAATTGGACGGAACCCATTCCTATTATAATATTATTATTTTTTAAAATTAGGTTTCCATTTACAAATGATTTTTTTTATATAGCAAAGTGATTAAGTCCATTAAACCAAATTAAATTCAAAATTATTTTACCCGTGAAGTTGGTATATCGTGTGGGCCCCACCTCAGCAAATGTCCAAAAATCAAGAATATAAATTTCCTAAGTTATTGAGGAACCGGGTTTTTTTTCTCTCTAAATTATTTATTGTTTTCTCTCTCTCTCTCTCTCTCTCTTTCTCTCTCTCTCTCTCTCTCTCATTATTTATTTCCTCATTTATAAACCCTTTTACAATTTGGTTACAGCAGCTTATTAAAATTCGATTTCATACCCTTTTTGGAATGATATAGAAAAACGACATTGTGGGTAAAATATAATTTTTGGGATAAAAGTAATTCCAATTATGTCGTATAAAATAGATATCTTATTGAAAACTGATTCGTGAATTTAAAAAATAAATAATTTATTAAAAAAAGTTGTTATTTTATTAATGAATTGAAGAGAAAACCTAATTCTTCAAAAACTTTCAATGACATCTCCATGGTCTAGAAGGAAACTCGGACGTCGCTACAATCATGCCAACATGATCGATTTTTATTATCTGTTTTTCTCTTATTTGTTTTTTTTTTCATTCCTTAAAATATATTATATGGAAATTAAAAAGACAAAAGTACTTCATAACACGATTAAAAAGACAAAATGTGGTCCAAATAAAATATATTTTTTTTAAAGGGTGAAAATATAATTGATGAAAAAAATGATCTGAGAAGTCTAGAATAAATTACTTATAGCGTATAGTCCTGCAGTAATGCACGCGTGCACTTCATGCACTCATACGTAGACTCACCATTGGTAATATATATGATATAATTCATATATCTATATATATATACACACACGTTCATACATTGATTGATACAAATGTATTCTTTGTTTTTTTTTTTTGTAAAGAGAGTGGAAATCTGCGGGCAAAATTTATAGTTAACCATGAATTTTAAAAATATTTAATAATTAATATGCATTTAATCTAATCATATTAGAAAAATAAAGATGTGGTCTGCACTTTGGAAAATTAGGAGAAGGAAAAAAAGTAAACTAGAATTTTAATATAATGGTGTGGACCAACCAATCTTTTGGAGAGCACGCCCTCCCATTTATCGGAAACGATTATTTTACATATCGAATAATAAATATACATACCATATAGTTTTCCAACAAAATCGCACATATCCCTAATCTTATAGTTAAGGCTTAAAAATCATAAATTCAAATATTGTTTTAAGATTGTGGATATGTGAATATATATATATATATATATATAGCCACACTAATATTTTAACATAACCAAACTAATATTCAGTTTTAGAATAATCTATAATTCTTGTAAAAAAATTCGGAAAATAATTCTTGTAATATTTATGGATGATTGTTGCCGATTAAAAACGATCAAGTAAAAAATCAAACAAATATCTTTAGGTTGTGTGTGAAAAAAAAACAATCTGTATAAATTTATATATACATTTGTATATATATATATATATATTAATAATCAATAGTTCAGTTGTTTTCAGACTATTCAACATCCAATTGATTATTGTAGATAAAAAACAATTAATTACCAAAAATTTATGATCTAAGATATCGTTAGCTAGATATAATAGTTCCCAATTTTTAAATTAAAATAGATTGTATGTTTAACAAATATATATATATATATATATATATATATACAGACAAGCTCACTCGCGCCCACAGGATCACGATTCACGAAAGTAGTGTGGGCCCAATGGATTAGGATATGATGCGGGCATTATGCATATAACTCATTCAAAAGACAGAATAAAAGCTTTTGATTCGCTCTCACTCTCATAATTTATATTTTTGTATAGAAGACAACCGACACTTTAAATATTATATATTCCGAGTAATTTTCGTTTACCGTCAAAGATTGCTTCGCAGAGTTCGAACCTTTATCTAGTTAGATACTCTTTGAAATTAAACTTAGATTCATATATATAGGATATCATGGTCGCGGCTCTACTTATATATAAGTGGGGCACTTATCCCTATTCACATTTTAAAAATATATATATTATTTATAATTTTGATTAAATTGTAACAATGTCCCATTAAAATTTAAGCGGGTCCCTTCCGTTTTTTTAATCCTAAATTTTTTTTTTCAATTTTTTCTTCTACCAATCTCACATTCTCCTTCATTTTTTAAATTTTTTTTCCAACTCCAAAATAATTTTATTTAATCTTTTATCAAATAAAAAAATTATAAGTTCAATAATAATCAAATCCAAAGGACTAAAACCAACAAAAATATGCAAGTATTCTGAATTTTATTTTAAATATTTTTTATGTTTTATTTATTTGTTTTTATATTTTTATCATATTGATAAATTTGTTTTTATATAAATCTCACAATTGATTTAATAAAAAAACCAGCTGTTAATTCCTTAAAACAAATTACAGTATAAAAAATTTAATGATCTATTTAACAAGATAAATTCAAAATTGCTCACTTATATAGCAGTTTTGAATCCAATTAAAACAGTTTTGTACAATCGAATTGATGATCAACATTTGAATGATTGTATGGTTTGTTTCTTTTCATATATATATATATATATATATTAGACAGTTTAGACTGAAGGTGGAATTGTAAAAGAAAAACATAATCAGGGCAAAAAAAAAAAAAAGAGGGAACGCATTCAAAGCCCTAATGTCCGCCTGAGATGCAGCATGCATGTATGCCACGTGGCATCTTTTAATTTGTGACTCAAGCCCCTAAGTTTCCGACCTCTTTCCTACTCTCTAGACGCTAATCGTGTCTTTTGTCCCTAATCAACCAGTTTTTATAATTTTTGTTAAATAATCATTTTACTAATTATTAATTAGTATCACTAATAATTCCCACTTTTTATCATCTTCCCTTCCAATGTGTGTGCAATCATTTTCCACTTTTATAATTTGAGGAGAACAACATATATCAATTGGTTTTTTTTCCTAATGGTAAAAACACATGGCACAATCCTTCAGACGAGATCTCGGTCCATCTTACAGATCGGACAACATTTTGAATAGTAAATCCCTAATTCTACGTAATAGTCGATAAACCACACAGAACAGGTAAATCAAACGAAACTGACCGGCTCAAGAGATTTGGATAATTCTCCTATATAGCAATTGATTTTTTTAAGTGTATATTACATGAAATCAAATTTCCTATCCTTACCAAAAAAAAAAAAAAAATTCCTATTAATATAAAGCATCTAACAGTTGGATGTTATTATTATTCAAATAATTATTGTAATGAATATGATTTCAAATTCAAATTTTCTTTGCAAGTAAACTTTTTTTTTTTTGGCAATGATACAGAAGATAAGGATTTGTTTTTAGTAACTTTATTTTGAAGGGAGGCAGAACTTTCAAGTGGGACATTTGGGGAGGAGGGACCATATATATATATATATATATCCTAAATTCGAATCATATATTTGTGAATTTCACTCGTCACAAAAAGCTTAAAATTATCTAACCTTGGAGATTGTTTTGTTTAGGTTTCTTCCATATCATGCATATTTTCCATATAAAAAAAACAGATAAGTAACTAATTTGCTCTATAAACAAAAACAAATAAGATAATACTCAAAAAATTGGAAAAAAAAAGAAATAAGTTATACTTAGATCGAATTTGGTTTATTTTATATTGATAATATAGTATTTAAACATTTTTATGTTCAAATCAAAATGAATGACCATCTATTCATATGCGTCACTTGCGCTCATAAGTAAAAGGAGAAATTCAACATTGATAATTTCATAATTTGAAAATGGTGATGTAAACTGACTTTTGGTGGATAACTTAAAATAATATGGACAAAACGAGATGGATATATACTCTTTCACATGTTATATAACTTGTTATGACATGTTCCATGTGCAATTATATCTAATTATTGCCCCTCATTTGCTTGAGACATAACCTTAGATTTCTTCCAACAACAAAAAATAATAATAAAAGGACACTTTTGTTCTTTTGTTTTTTTTTTATTATTCACAATAACAATAAGACTCTAATCTAATTTAATTTTCTGAATAATATATTAAAGGGAAAATCGTCAAAAAAAATCTTGTACTCTTTAAATATCGACAAAAAAACCTTATATTTTTTGTTATAAAAAATCCTATAATTATATTTATTCGCCGAAATATACATGTACTCTTCAAATGTCACACAAAAAAAACCTATACTTTTTTTAATAACTGAATAAACCCTATACTTATACTTATTCGCCGAAATATATCTGTACTTTATAAATTCTAGCAAATAACTCCTAAACGCAAACGCAAAAAAAATGCGATATAAAATATATCTGAATCAAACTCAACCGATATATATCTAAACCGAATCGAATCGATTAAAATAATATACCATATTGGATATGAATATTTCAAATCTGAAACAACCAAATCCGAAATAACCGAACCGTATCCGACCGATATATACCTGACCGAATCGAGCCGATTAAAATAATATACCAGATTGGATATGAATATTTCAAATTCGAATGAATCCAATATCATTATATTAATTTTTCTAATTAAATTTAGAATATATTGGATATTAATTGATGATATATGGGTAGATAAACGGTTATATTCGATTACGGTTAATTCGAGTTCGGTTTATTTGTTTTACTCTTATTTCGGATTCGATTATTTCTGGTTTAGTTATTTCGGATTTAAAATATTCATATCCAATCTGATATATTGTTTTAATCGGTTTGATTTGGTTCGGATATATATCGGTTGGGTTCGGTTCGAACAGATTTTTTACCGTGTTTTTTTTTTTTGCATTTGTGTTTAGAGGTTTATTTGGTAGAATTTATAAAGTTCAGGTATTTTTCAACAAATAAATATAAGTATAGAGTTTATTTGATAATAAAAAATATATGGTTTTTTTGTCTGATATCTAAAAAATACATGTATATTTCGGCGAATAAATATAAATATGTAATTTTTTTATAATTAAAAAAAGTATAGGTATGAAGAGTATATAGTTTTTTTGGCGATTTTCTCTATATTAAATCAAAAGATCAAAAGATGTAGCAAAAAACAAAAGGATCCATTCCACAAGGTGTTTTACTATGAATGAAGCTAAGTTCCTTGAGCTTTTTTTCTCTTTTTTTTTTTTTTGCATCAATACCTTGAGAAAGCCAAAGAATATGCTTTGTATATCCATCTTTGCATTGTATCAATCATCTCTACCAAAATCATACAGACAGCATAATAGAATTGTAAAGAAGAAGAAGACTGAACTGAAATTTTAAACAGCTTTTGTCTTGTGTCCATGTCTGAAAGGCTCTGGCCCCCTCATTCCATATCTCTGACGCTTTCACTCGTCAACCACATCTTCTTCTGGACAATGAATATGACATCTCCTTCCGGGTCTTGGTCCGAGTCCGAGGCTATCTTTGTTGTCACAGCTTCCCAGTGCAAAGCCGTGAGCCGCTTCTTCACAAAGTCCACCACCGACTGTTTGTCTCGGATGATAATGAAACCCGTTGGACGGAGCATTCGGTCCATCTCCAGCAGTAAATCCTCACCACTGCATCCTTTCTTCATGATATCGGAAATCGTGTCCCAAGCATGGAGTAAATCATAGGTTCTCGGGTATATCGAGAATGCTTCACACCTGCAAAAATACAACACGCGAATCCATATCTAGAGAACCAAGATCTTGAATTTACTCGAAATCCAATTCTTATTTCCTAATCTTCTGGAGAAATCTTATGGACATCACTTTTGAGAAACCATTGGCAAAACCCAGATTTCATTTCCTATGTTTCTGAACTATGGAAACAGCTTTGGATCATCCTGTCTATCCAAAGATCATAAACACGGCAAGATATGATATGGTGGGTCATAACAGAAAAGCTTAAGCGTGAAGGTAAACTGGTAAAGAAGACAACTGACCACTTATGGACGGCACCGATTAAGCCTCTGTCATATATAAGCTTAAGAGTGTTAGGTCCATCTGCAGGAACAACATTCATCACCCAAACATCTTTTTCTTTCAGCGCAGCAGCAAATGAACCCATGTTTGCTTTCATGTCCATAATGTTTCTCAGAGTGTCTGCTTGAATTCTGGGACTCAAAAGATCCCAATAAACTTCTACTCTCTGTCTCCAGAGTTCCTGTATGCGCAAGCAAGACTTGTAGTGACTAAATCCCGTGTTACAGGTACATAAAATGGAGATAGAAATAGAAGTTATAGCCCATTATATACCGTATCCTTTTCAAACATGTCACTCGAGTAGCCAAAGTCAGCAATCCGAGGAGGAGGAGAGGTCAAACGAGCTGGCCACGGTGCCAATCCACTTCCCTTGGTCTTGTGGTCATCTAATAGAAAACCCAAAAACTTTCAGCAGGCATATGTTTTCAAGTTTAATAACATAAAATCGGGAATTTATTGCACCATATATGCATACATAATGTTATTTGGAAAACATGGGGAAGCTTGAAAACTTACGGTCAGAGTATGGAGAGATGCAGGCTTCCATGGGTACACCCCACAGAGCATCTGGATCGTTATCAGACCGGCAAAGAGGAGGTTGAGTTCCAGGTTCTCTTTCCATATAACAATCGTTTGACAAAGGTTTCTGCCAAATCACAGTCTGATTCCTCTTTGCTGCAATCTTCCAACACATACGTCCGACAAGAGCGCTCATGTCTCTCCATATTCTGAGATCTTCTTCATCTTGTGCATAAGCTTCTGGAGATGAATATGCAAAATAGCCACCAGGTCTGAGCAGCCTGTCTAGCTCGAGAAGAAGAATCCCATCTCTTTGAAGCCAATCGATTCTGCAACGAGAACAGTGAGCAAGTTCAAATGACCGACTCGGGTAAGGAAGCCTCTTTGTCCCTAATACGCCAAGATATGCAGGAATGCCTCTCTCAAGGGCAAACTGGATTTGGTTCTGATGCACATCGTTCGGTGCTAAGGACATCGCTATGATATCCGATGAGAGAAGATAACCTCCAAAGCTTGCAACACCACAGCCAACATCAAGAACTGTCCTTAATTGTCCTCCATTGTTCAATACGTTGTTCGGGAAGTTGAGCATCTGCAAAATTCCAAGAATACTATCAGAAAAATAAAGAACTGTATAAGCACTGTTGTGCGTAAAATCAAGAAACTTGCTTACATTTGCCATGGAAGCAATATATTTATCAGCCCCATAGTGAAAATGAGTGCCTCCACCAGGGAAAAAGATTTTTTCTCCTTTGACAACCATCCAGTTTTGGTCAGACTTCTCATGAGCAAGATGAGTATGAGGTATGTTCACTTTCCACACTTCGTCTCTGCTCTTCGGCCACTTAATTGGAACCTACAATGCATTGGTAGAGAAAACAGATATCGTAAACAGATACTGACCATTTCAACAAAACGAGAAAATTACCCACCTTATATCCCGGTGGAGGAGGAATCAAGCAATTGAACCGTCTTTCAGGAGGAGGGCAGTGGCGTTCATAGTGCTCCATCAGAGACAAGTCCAGCTTCAATCTCATTTGGTATATGTGATTCCTGTCTAAGCAAGGAATGAGTTCTGAATGCCGGTCATCACAAACCTTGACAGATAGAAGACAGCAACATTATAAGACCACCCACACAAAAATCTAACTAGAAATAAGTAAAGATTGGGAATGTAAACAAAAATAAGAAAATGTAAAAAAACTCACAGGAAAACTTTTGGGGGTGAAACCATCGTTTCCATCTTCAAGACCATAAGTGCCAGAAGTATCATCCTGCTTGGTGTCATCTTCATCCCCACCCAACCCAAGTTTCCTCCCATATTCAAGAGCCGAGCCCCCCTGGTTAGAGGAGCCAAAGTACAGATACACAAAAACAAGTAATACTGCCACAACGAGGACCAAGGCGATCACCCGTTTCTTTTGACCTCCATCTGATCTTCCCCTCATTGCCTATGAAGATTTTGATGACTTTTAAACAAGAGTGTCCTCCTTCCAAACTGCACAACGCATAAAAACCAGGTTAAAACTTCAGTATGGTAACCGGCAATGTTCAACCAATTACAGCAACAGAACTCTGTTCTAGTTTTACATATGACAGGTGAATGATATCTGTCAGAATACAACCTATATAACCTGTAAGAACGCAAAGCAGGAAACAAAGGCTAAGACATGACACTAACGAACACAGGGAAGCTTGCTAAGTAACTATCACAAACTCAAAGATAAAATACAAATCTCGAAACATACAAACCACTCTATACACCAAAACATAGGAAGATGTTCTAATACTCTGTACGGATAATCATTCAATCCTCCCGACATATGTAGGGAATCTATCAAAAGCCAAGGAAATAATCTGCCACTCAAACCATTTTTGTACCCTTTAACGCAATCGGATATAGGTCTGTACACAAATAATTAGATCCTAACGTTTTCATTTCGTATCTGAAACTTTGTCCAAAAAAAGCACAAGAACAGTATGTTTCCATAAGCACCCAATCACAGATCTGGTACAAGAAACCACCTCATGAACCGAATCCAATCATGGAGTTTGTGCAATAGAGCGTGACAGATTAAAACAGAACCGGATCGAACTAGGAACAACAACTTGAAGCCGATGGTTAAAATTGGTCGTCAGAGTTCCAGCATAAGAAAAAAGCTACGAACAATCAGGTAAGTGACTCGAAATCTTATCGGAAACCAAATCTAGGAATCTAAGAATGCCCAGAAAAACGCAAACAAATAAAAATGACTTTCAATAGGAACAAACAACAAATCACTCGAGGAACCAACCCATCAGACGACAAGCGAAAACGCATCAATTGGCTAACACATACATAGTCGAAACCAATAGTGAGAACCCTTGAGATGCCGACCAAATCGAGAAACATACAGAAAGCCCAGGAACAATAAGAGGTTAAGAGAACCTAAAATGAAGGGGAACTCACCAAGTAGCTCCTAGATTCACAATAGGTCAAGGCAGAGAGGTCATTCCATGGATAGAAACAAAGAGAGAGAGAGAGAGAGAGAGAGAGAGAGAGAGAGAGAGAAAGAGAGGGAGGTGGAGGAATCGAGAGATAGAGAGAGATTCGGATCTGAGAAATTCTGGGTTTTCTGCAATGTTATCTAAATTAGGAAAATGATGGAACTTCGCTTCCTTCCTAATTGGTGGACATGGGAATGAAAGCAGCGACTGTAAGTGAACAGAGAGAGAGTTCCGTCGAGGTCGTTAATAATTTAATAATCTGTTTTCATTTTCTTTTTCTTAATTTATATTTCATATTTTAATTTTTATTAATATTTTCTTTTGTGAGTAAAAAGGTTTTTTTCCCCTCTGGATCTGCACTTTCTCTGCCGACTAATAAATAAAATTAAATTAATTGGAGTTTATGTAATTACTCCCACAAATTTGGGTGGATAGCTTTGGCATCAAATTATATTCACCTCTTAAAATTACACCAATTTTTTTCTGTAAAAAAACTTGCCAATGTTTTTTTTTAAAAAAAAATCCTACTATTTATCGAGAAACAGAAAATAAAATGCAATAGATAGTACTATGATTAATATTTTAAAAAATATATATATCTACTTACAAATAATAATTACTTGGATTTATTCTTCAAGATTTATAACAGTACGAGTTGATTCAATTTCATTCATGTCAATTCAGCTTAGGCGAAGGCAAACGTGAAATTTATTATTTTAACAAAAAAAAAACGTGAAATTTATTTTAAAAAATTAATAATCAATTGCAACAAAAAAAAAATCCGACCCAATCCTTGGGATTTATTATGGGCTTCAACTAAACATTTCTAAAAAGCCCATCAGTATTGGGCTTCAAATAAACCTAAACGGGTCATCAGAGCCCATTAAAAATTCCATGAGGGGGAGGAAAGTTGTAGATTTGAATGGTTATGATCGTGACACGTGTCGAATATCGAATGGAGACGTGGAACTTTCCTCGATATCTTTTATTTAGGAGACAGCGAATGACGGGTGAGACGTGAGAATGGGCCCACGTGGGGCCATCGGTCAAATGTACGAATAATTTTCTCCATGGGCCTAACGGGAATTATCAAAACTTTTTTGGAGACAGAATTAATTATTACGTAAAAAAAATTAAGAAAAATAATATGTATTTAAGAAAAATATATTTAATCACAGTTTATTACCAAATAAATATGTGAAATTCTTAATTTTGAAAGAGGGAGTAGTGAGTAAAATCAATAGACAGGCACGCTGTCATGCGTTTAAGTCGAATTTATTTCAATAATTTGACATATTTAAGTCCACGGTCCAAAACTGCCTAACATATACAAAAGTTGGCATGAAATATATATATACATGTCGGCAAATATATATATATATATATGTATATGAATGTTACTGTGGAGGCATATGAAAGTTAGCAATTTTCCAATCACACTTATGTTAATGGGGTTACGTTGATGGTGACAGCTTTTTTGCTAAATTGGATACCTTTCAGTTAAAAAATTAAAATAAAAATCTCTTTGTAGATTTTGTTTAATCCATTTTTAGAAACTCCTACGTTCAAGTTTCTTGGTCTATACTTCTCTTACGTAAGAATGTCATTTCCAAATTTTGCAATCGATATATATATATATATCACAAAATTTTATGTTAAGCAATTGGCATGCAGGTTGACAATTTACATTTTTATAATTTATTATGGACTAAAAATGCTAAGTTTATGAATATTATGTTGTATATGAATAGAATGTTACTACAAATTATTATTATTATTTTTTTTCTTATGTATAATTGTTACGTTTTTAATAGTTTTTATTTTTCTTATGTATCATAAAATAAATGTTATATATGAATATAATGTTACTTGAATAAATAATTTTATATATATATATATATATTGGTATGGCCGACAAATGTTACATGCCAAATTTTTCTTTGCTTCGAGGAATTTATTTGTATATTTTATAATAATTTCGGACAAAATGGATTATAAAATATATGTGGGACTAAATAGACAGTATGTATATGCAAAAGCTAAGGAAAGGACACATATAGAGCCCTCGTGACCCCCAATTCTCAAAAAGACAATTCATGCATGGATACAGAATGATACAATGATAAATCTTAGGTTATCCTAATTATGTTATATATATGCATAAACACTAAATTATATAAGCGCGCGTGTATAATTATGTGTATATATATAGCTAGGGTTTGTTCATGCCATCATAGAGGGTCCTTTATTTTGTATCAATTCTCACCTGTTTGGGAAACAACTCATGCTGATATGACATATTGCAGAAAATGTGTCATGAAAACACTCTTGAAAAAAAAAATGATCAAACTCACAAGTCATGACTATAAATATAATAATATGATATATATATATATATATATAATTTAATTTTTAGTAAAACAAACTCAAACAATAGATATAAGAAATATATGAAGAAGGTGAAACCAAACGCTATATTTCCTGAATTAAAGACTTTTATTACAGTGACAAGAAACTGAATGATTTGCCAATGCCCCCCACCTAAATCAAGACAATACAAGAAAGGCTACAACGAGAGACAGAAAACAAAAAGCCATGAAAAGACACGAAAGAACAAATTGATTCTGTAAAAAAAAAAGCTTTTGATTTTTTTTTCTCTCACGTCTTGTATTAACTACATCATTTCAAGAGACCGTCGTATCATTTGCTCGTTGTTGTTTTTTTTTTTTAAGAAATTATTTAGACATGAACTAAGATCAAACTATAAGTTTCAAATTTGAAATTCGGTCTTGTCATAAAAAAATTTCGATTTAACGCCCACAAAGGTGGCACATGGACAATATTTAAATTTCATGTTTCAGTCTAAGGAAAAAGAAAAGAAACAACGCAATAGAGTTGTTATATATATGAATCTCTCCAAGCATATGTCCCTTTTCTTACTCGGTGATATGTTTCAGCCCTAGCTAGGGTTGCTTCATATCGCCGGAACCGGCGGCTCGAGACAGCGGCTGGGGCGGGCGCTTCCGCTTCTTCTTCTCGTAGCTAATGCCACGAGCCTTGGACTGAGAGTCACGGACCTCCCTGAGGTAGAGCCGGACGGCTCGGGCTCCGAAAGGGTTCGTCTCGGGCGAGCCACCGTTCTCTTCGAAGGCAGCTCTCAGACGGCCGATGAGGGCGTCGAGGCTGCCCCATGCCTGCCTGAGCGGGCAGGCGCAAGGGGCCGGAGGGTTCGGATGGCCGTAGAATGGGCATAATTGTGTGTGAACCTGTTCATTATATATATAGATATATAGTCTCGAAATTAATGTTCATGTCATGAACCAACATAATGTTACTATGACTTACTATGCAATATCAGATCGGAATAGAAAGAAAAAGTACTACCCAGATATGGAGGTTTTTTCAAGACATGAACCAAGAAATCAAAATAATGTTACTGTGACTAACTATGCAATATCTTGCCTTAAACGAAGAAATATATGCAAGAATTTCTTTTATCAGATACAATAATGTTTCTATACTAGACACATACATAATATAATCCTCGATTTATAAGCCTCAGTCCATATTTTCCTATTGGATCTCATAATTAATATCAGTACAACTATAAGATATGCTAAATTGGCATGTATTCAATGAACTAAAGCTCGAACTTGACATCAATAACATTTGATTACAAATGAAACCCATAATTAGAAAAAAGAAAACCCATAAAGTGAATGTATAAATAATAGAATACGATAGTTGTTGGAAAGAGTTTCAAGATCAAGTACATGTACATCTATAAATTAAGGTTCATCAAGATGATTTTTTTTAAAAAAAATAACGTGTAGAAGCTGCCGGATATATTTTAGTGCCGAATATGAGATTCAATCTCTAAGATCATTAAACACTAAGCAAAACCAAAAACATTATATCCAACACAAATATATATATTGATATGCATGTGTGTATGTATATATATATAATCCAATGGAGAGTAAAGTTACTAAAAGATTTGACATAGATAGGGTTTAGATCTTTCTGAAAAAAGATCTAAAAAAAGGGCCATATGTATATACACATATATACACACATATATTTATATGTATACAAGTAAGGTACCTTGGTCTTGCCGAACTGGTCAAGGTACCTGAGGAACTCAAGAACATGAGCTCCACTGCAACGGGACAAAGAGAGCGGAGGTCTGTGGTTTCGGAGATACTGTCCGAAAGTGTTCCAATCCCTTCGCTTCTGATTCTCGTAGCGGCTCAGCTGGTTCGCCGTCGATCCTGACGAGGAGGAAGATGATGAAGACGACGTCGTTGTGGTCATCATCATCATCGTGTTCGTGCTGCCCATAAATCCCTGCATCGGATCCATTGGTTTCTCGATAGATATCCGATTAGGGTTTTTTTTTTCTCGTGTGTTTCTTGGATGAAAATGAATACCTTGAGGGAGTACTTTACTCGAGATTATAAGATGTGGTCTCTCTCTATTATGGGGAGAGAGAGAGAGAGGGAGAGAGAGAGAGAGAGAGAGAGAGAGAGATTGTCGCTATCATACTATAAAGGGTTTGTAGAACTATATTGTTCTTGTTCCAACACATTTTTCTTTACTGCGCGTAATTAGTAAATGATCGAAATCGAAAATTCACGGTAATTAAATTTTTTACAGTCTTCTTCTTCATGTTTATCACGTATTTACTACTATTAGGTTAATTGAAACTACAACGGTCTGATCAGTTTTCAGTATCTCTCGTGATTTCGGGTTCGAATCGCTTACAATAAAAAAATATTTTAGATTCTATATTTGAGCAAAGAAGAAAGAAGTTTCAATATATTATTTTCACATCAAAACATTTCAAAGATCCAAGAAACGGATTTGTTATAGCTTATCGTGAGCATTCAAAATAAATTAAGTTTTTCTGATTTCTCATACAATATTTTTATATTTTTTTCTCCAAATTTATCATTTATTAATAATCGTTAAATATTTCAAGATAATAATTCTTTATACAATAAATAAGGGTATTTTAGATAAAAAAAAATGTTCCTTTTTTTTAATATGTGAGCTTAATCTAAAACGTCTTATAAAAGTAAACTGAGGGAATAATAGATATTTCTATATATTATAATACAATCAAAATATGTAAAAGAATGCCACACCTTTTTTTTCCTCTAAATTTTTTGTAAGTTGATTTAAAAAGACAATGAAAATGATATGAAAGTCATCATGCAAACAGTAAGACCAATATCTGAATAATTGATAATTAATTCATATATTGAAATATTATGATAAATATTTATTGTTTGGTTGCATAAGAGAGAGGGTAAAACCAGAAAGAGAAGGGAAGCCGACCAATGGTTACGAGCCATTCCACATATGGACCTCTCTAATCATCAAATTTAATAATCATTTTCTGGATTTCATATTGGTTCAAAGTTTTCAAATAATCGTAATCTTCTTGTACTGAATGGGCACTGTATATAACATAAAGAAAGCTGGTACAATTTTTTTTCTTCAAAATACGCTAAATTCCGAAATAAAATTTATAGAATCTTTTCCTGTTCAAATATTTTTTTCTGTCCTCTTTTATGAAGATTTTCAAATGCGCAATCTGTATTTTTTAAGCATCCAATCTATGTTTATAAAATTAATAAGATTACAGAAAATAATAATGAGAACACGATATCTTAATATATGCTGATAAACACTTTATTATAATTCAATAAGCGCCAATTAATGTCATGACACAATAAATAATCAAATAGATTAATATAATATATGGTACTCGAAAAGTTAGAGGGAATAATATATTTGTGAAAATGTTCTGCTATCTTGTTGGTTCACCTTTTTTTGGGGGGATTGATTGACAACACCTTGCGTAAAATGACGAAAGTACCCCTGAACATGGAGTTTTTGCCGCAAGAGATAACTTGTTGCGGAAGTACAAAAGAAAGAGGACAGAAACGGGAATACATACATACATACATATATATATATATATGTGTATATATGGAGCAGTGAAGGAGAGAGGATGAGTCCATCAATGGCACTGTGGTTTCTCTTTGTGAAAGTGGACATGTGAGTGATTGAGTGTGATTGAGGTGGGCAAGTAGGTTTTGTTTCTCTTTTGGCCTCTTTCTATATTCATTATTCAAAATTTCGAATTTTTTTTTTAAAAAAAGATGAAATTAAATTAAATGGATCGATAAGTTTTTTTTTTCACGAGGAAACAAACTCATAGTTTACATCATGCATGCATTTCAAATGTGTTTTTTTTTTTGCTAATTTTAAATTTATCAGTATATTGTATTTTTGAAATAAACATGTTCGTTTTAAGATTGTTCTACACATTTGAATATATGGCGATTACAAATACAATAGTTGGTTCGAATTTTGTTCTTGAATATTCTTATTATTTTCAAACATCTATGGAATTAATCGGATCAAATATATAAAGATTCGATAACTCAAATTTGGATGGTTTATTGATAAGAAAATATACGAATCATGAACTTTAAATTCAAACATATAAAACGGTATTCATCTGAATTTCTTTGATTATCTGTTAGATGTAATTGGGTCAAATATTCGATTAACTTTCAAATTATCAAAAAAAAATTATTCGATATGAAAAATAAATAGCAAATGATCAATAATCTGATCTAGTTTATGAAATTGATCTCATTCAAGCAAGACATGCATCCAGCGACATGTCCGCAGGGGACACAAGCAGCTTCCGACGGGGCGTCCAGACATATCGCGCAGAGCCCCGAGCTTCCATCTCCTTCTCTCTTTTCGCCGTTTAACGTTACAGGGACTTCGACAGGGCTCGAGTCTATGGATGGGTAGTGAATGGGACCGTCCTCCAAGGGGGGAGCCGATGGTTCAGGCTCTTGGGGACTGGCACTTGCCTCGGGAGGAGGAGGAGGAGGAGGAGGAGGTGGACCGGTTGATGAACTGGCTTGATCGATGGAACAGCGATCTAAATTGGGCGGCCTCTCGTTCGTTGCTGATTGCAGAAACGCCGGTGGATGCATTGGCTGCACAGTCCAAGAGTGTTTCAGAACATTCATAGAGAGAGAGATGCATCAATGGATAATATTAGGGTTTCCAAATGATCATAAATCAGAAAACAAACCAGTGGAATTCCTTTACACGCATCACAAAACCACCGAAGCTGTTGCCCGTCACCCTCGTTTCCAGGTGAGAGTTTAAGACGCGTTTCTGAAAGAAAGAATGGAACTTTAACTCACAAATATATATATATTTCAGTAGCTTAAGAATGTGAAAATCACAAAAAAAGATGCCCTAAAATTCAGTTTAACAATATACATGAATATCATTTTTTGTATCCGAAAGCAGCTATGTGTGTGTATAACTTACGCCTAACAGTTTGAGGCCAATGCCTCCCGTGGGAGGAGCAGGCCCTTCGCCTCTGTCTCCTGCGGCTCGGGACTAAGCACATAACAGAATTCAATCAACATCCTTCCCCGGACTGTGCATTCCGTCCATCCATATATATATATATATATCGAATAAAAGCAGCTATGAAGAAATTACTTGTCGAGTTATCGATGATCATCACTGAAGAATCAGACTGGTGTGGTCCCGACTCCTCCAAATTGGCTTTCCACAACGCCATCACTGTCCTCGGCCGAGCATCCTGATTATATACATCAGAAACACTGCATTCAGCACCCAGATAAAAATATCTCGGCATATTCATCAATTTATTTTTCTGCTAGGGCAATGAGATATAAGCAAGATTGACTCGCTAGCAAGATTTTAATGAACTTTGGTTGCTGTTGTCAATCTTGAACATAGTACGGAAGCTGCTTAAAAACTATTCCGTAAGAGAAAAAGACGGTAATTAGTACCTGCGGACGAGCATACAAAGCTAGCTCCAGCTTGAAAGGCTTAGTCGGGTTTTTCGAGCCTGTCGGTAAGATGACAACCCATCTGCGAAATATAAGCTTTTTAAATTTGGTTATAGTTATACCCATTGGAATAACAGCAAAAATATCATATCATATAGCATACCGAAGGGGGAAAAGCGAAAAGACTTACACTCTTCTTGAAAGAAGCTGAGGAGCAAATACTTCGAGGAAGCCAGGGCCATATAATTCCCTCATCCAACCAGAAAACAAGCAGATGTGACTCTGCATGATGCAAGTTCATAAAAAAATAATGTTACATTTAATGAGGATCCATATCTTTCACTGGTTTGGTTTGGTTACAACTAAAAGAGTACCGGAAAGGTGTTTTACGAGTGTACCTCGATTGCACGCACAACATTGCTGTACCCTTTAGCTCGAGCAACCTCGAGTGGCGTCTGGCGACCGTCGTTCAAAACCAGTGGATTCGCTGAGAAAAAATGGCCGCAACAAAACTTAACAAGACACCCACCAACCAAAAAAAAAGAAAAGAGAAAAGATACCGAGTTTATAACTCATCGGATATGCAGAATGATCCTAAATCTTACCGCCGGATGAAAGAAGTAACTTAACAGTGTTCTCGAGACCTCTTTTTGCAGCATGGTGCAGAGGAGTTCCGGCTTGACAACCTGATGATACCAATGATGAAAGAAATCACCTCGTGAACTAATCTCATGCCATACACTAACTTTCCTAATAAGGTTTCTACAAACAATTTCTAATTGCAAGCATTTAGAAAAGCTCAAGAATATTCATTGGAATAGTCTGGCATCTTCTTCCCTCACAGAACACAGACATGAATCTCAAACTCCAAAAAACATGGATTAGATTGGTGTTTGTGAGATCACAATCCAGATTAAATCAGCTATTGTCAGTTCAAATCTTGCCCCATATATTGTTATTAACTAGTAGCCAAAACCTCCCCACACCGAAAAATTCTTCCTTTTCTTTTCGATTTCATTGTTCCAGAACGATTTAGCTCAACACATGAACATGGACATGGACATGGGCATGAACATGAACATGAACACGAAACATGAACATGAACATGAACATGAACATGAACATGAACATGAACATGAACATGAACATGACATCAAATTTTGCATATTAATTAGAGCAATTCTAGAATGATATTTCAAACCGAGAATCAAGCAAAGGGAAAAGGGAAGATGATTAGGAATACCGGGTCGGTAAGCATTAACATTGGCACCCAGCTCAATCAGGGTTTTTGCGACATGATATAGCTCAGCGTACATGCAGGCTAAGATCAATGGCGTTTTCCCTTCTCGATCTGTCCACTGCATCCCAAACAAAAGTCATACTTCAGGTTACAATCTGTGAGTGTGAGGCGAAACCCTAAGTGTGACAATTCTACGGGACCCATGAATCGAAATCGACGAAAAATCGATTTTTTTCGGGAACAAACCTCGAGGCCTGCACCGTCTTTGCGAAGGGTTTTGATCCCTTCTGCATTGCCGTACCTCACTTGTTGATAAAGAAGCTCACCCTTCGACTGCTGTTGTCCCATTTTCTCGCCGATCAAACAGAAGCGAGAAATCAGACGAAGGGGAAAGAAAATCTATCACATGGTAAAGTTCCCGTCTTTGGGTACTTGAAGAAGAAACTCGGAAAATGGTTAGAATTTTCGTGGAAAAGAGAGATGAGGATTCGGGAAAGTGAAGTTCAAATCAGAGGAAAACGTAAATTATTTGTTTTCAGATAAATATAATATTTCAATAACCATCAAATATACATTTATAAATCACTAAATTAGAACGACAGGCGGACAGAATTTCTAAATTATGGTTCATATTATTTTAAGGTTTGAAGTTGGTGTTACATATTCAATGAAAAAAAATACTCCACCGTCTCTAAATATTTTGTTACTACATAGATATGTTTCAGATTTTCCAAGTGATTTTTAAAAAAAAAATTTACAATTTATCCTCAATTAAAAATATTCAACTTCAAATGAGTATTAATAAGAATGTGATTTAATGAGAATATAAATGACTTTCTTTTTTTTAATATTTTCTTAAGAATTGTGAATAATCTAAAACAGACATTTTTTAGAAACAGAGAGAGTAATATAAAAGATTTAATCCTTAATCATAATTAAAATATATTAGAAAAGTCTAAAATGTATATGGTGTTTGGGTGATTAGGTGGCAAGTTAAGTGGATGGGATGAGGTTAGTTGTGCGTTGGTGGTGCAATTAAGAGAGAGTTAATGAAATTTGATGTACCTACTTCTTGGGTCCCCTTCAATTCATTACTTTTTATTTATGATTTCATCTAAAAAAAATATAATTAAAAATAATGATTTCAAGCTTTTTTTTTTATCATCTACTTGTATTTTTTTTTACGTAGAATATTAGCAGAGAAAGAAGATACAAAGTGTGTAATTTTTTTTTTTCATGTAAGAAGATATAAAGTTCCAAGCTTTTTTTTTTCTTTGAATTTTTCTCCTCCTTCATGGGTGTTGTAATGGTCTGAAGTTATGATTCATTGATTTATTATACATTCAATATTATCAACCACAACATCATTAACATGTATCCTTCTGCATTTCCAAAAAATAAAAAAATAAAAAAATTGGAATATCTGTATCAATTCTTAAAGACAGAGAATCTATTCTGTTGTTCTTTTATTCTGCTTCACTGACAGTGACAGTGACAGACATAACTAGAGAAGACTGATACACTCACAGAAGAAAGAAGGCCTAGGTTTCTGAAGCTTGTTCTGTCCCCTCGCTTTGATCTTGAACTGCTGGTACGGACGGTAATGGAGGAGCAGCAGCTGAATCAGAACCCTTTGGAGGTGATGATGATGATGATGATGATGAATGTGGACTGTACCTCTTTAGCAACCTGTCCTTGTTCTTGTTCCACCATTCTTCCGCTTGATGCTCGTCGAATCTCCTCTTACTGTCCAAAAACCCGAGAATTCATGGCAGAGTTCAAGGCAAATCCATGAAGAGAGAGTGTATATATAATAGTATGGTATGATATCCATTATACCTGAACCTAACTCGTCTGAAGATCTTGCCACCGTTGGAGTGAAGGACATAAGTAACGTAAACTCCAGGTTCAAACTGTTCGATAATCTCCTTGCCTCCTCCCGTTCTCGATGGCGGAGCTTCTGTCGGTGGTCTCGAATCCGAGGGATGAGAGTTGGTCTCTGCTATATTCGCAGCCTCTTGGGACATCACGGTACATGATCTGGACGACGACGATTCTTGCTCCTCTATCCTTTGCCCTCTCGTGTTTGTACAAGGATCCGTGTTTTGTTCTGAAGTTGCATGTAAAGACGTTTCCGATGTTTCGTTCGTGTTTATGTAAGCTTCGGCTTGGGAATTAATCGATTTGAAAGCTTCGCTTTCAGACACTTCAGGAGGTAACTTCTCGCTCAACCCTTTCAGCTGTGGAATCGAAGAACACGATAATTTGGTAGTCAGAAACATCATAGGAGGAACAGAGCAAATGGATCACGTGAAACAATAATGCATCGATGTAGAAAAAAAGATCATGAATACATAATGCGAAGATAGATATCATCAGTTCGAGTGGTAGATTACCTGTTCAGTGACAGATTTGATGATTTCGGTTGCTGCTCTGTGCTTTGAAGATTGCTCTGAAGCTAATTCAGAAGCGGCTCTAGCTGCTCGTTGTAGTCTCTGTACCTCTGCTTCTTGATTATCTAATCTCTGCTTCAAACTTCTAACCTGAACGCAGAAACAATTAAGACATTCTTAATTATGAGTCAGATTCAGCATCCATAAGAGATTAGGACATAAAACTCTGAACCTGGCTCTGCAATCTTGCCGTTTCTTGGTTTAGAACGTCGTTCGTCTTCTTCAGACTCTCGATAACACTCCTGGAAAACCCAGAAGACCGAGGAGGGCTTGGTTTTCTTGCATAAGGGGATGTGGGTCTTGTAGGCGGAGACGGAAGCACGGGCAGGGCTAGTGAACCAACCGGAGGAGCAGGTTTAAAAGCATTTTGAAGGGCACTGATCGAACTCGGAAACGCTACATCTTTCAGTGGCAAGATAGCTGGAACTTGCGAGGCTCGGACAATGGAAGGAGAATCGGATCTAACCCCGGGTCTTGAAGATCTGATCTCAAGATATTTGACTGGTTCTGTGGTCGGAGACAGTAGAACCTTTGAAGTCCTCACCTCTTTGTCCAATCTCACCGAGCCATCTATTGATCGTCGAGGAGCCGTGACTTTCTTGTTAGTGTTGGAGTTATACCCTCCTGCCTCGGCTGCTTTCAGTTTGGTGTAACAGGCATCGCATACACGATGAGGCTTCCCTGGAGTTGGAGCTAATGCTGCTTTCAGGGCCTTCTTCGAACTGCAGGCATGGCAATGGACCAGACCACAGTTGTAACAGTTGTGTCTCTTTCGGGTGAACCCGAAAGCCTGACGGCAACCAGAACAAACCGATTGATCGGCTCCTGAGACCCATTTATGGATGCATATGCTTGAGGTGAAGTTCGAGCCACACGCTATGCTCTTCACATGCCGGTCTCTGAGGGCTTCAACCAATGTCGGTGTCTTTCGATCTTCTGTGTCTCCATGCCCTAATCTTCCATTAGCACCTTTTCCCCAGGTGAAGACCTCACTTCTCGACGTCAAGACGGCAACATGATGATCCCCGCAAGCAATTTCCTCGACGAATTCTCCGACTAATCGATCTTGCACTAAGCAAGGTAACTTACCATCAGCAATGGAGTTACCGAGCTGGCCATGCATAGTCCCGCCCATGGTGAAAACATGCCCCGAGGTCGTAAGCGCGACTGTTAAGGTATGCCCACATCCAATCTGCTGAAAGTTGTAGTCGATAAGCGAAGAGACACAAGTAGGAAGCAAATAAGTCTCTTTGTTTCCATGTCCTAACCTATGTTTGTCGCCGTCACCCCAAGTAAACAACTTCCTGTTCGAAATACTCGCACCCGATTGCCCCATAACCTCGACTATCGCAACAGTATGCCAAACACCGCAAGCTACTTTCAGGGTTTTCAGCCCGCTCAATGATTGTACTTCCTTAGGATACGAAATACTTTCCCTATCTCCATGTCCCAAAACGCCATAAGTCCCATCCCCGAAGGTGAAGAGTTTTCCATTAGAAGTTGACAAAGCCGAATGCCATGTCCCACAGGCGACAGATAGTACTTGAAGACCTTCCACCGGACCAGAAACCCTTTTCGGTATCCAGTGGCTGATCTCGCTACCATGCCCTAGAAGCCCGATATTGTGAATCCCGTCTCCCCAAGTGAATAAGTCTCCAGAGGTAGATACAGCACAAGTATGGTATTCTCCACAAGCAACGAAATCTATGTTGGTGAGAGCTAAAAACTCTACGAGTTTTGGACGGCTAATGTCCACCTGAATTCCGTGTCCAAGCCTTCCTCCGACTTCTTCTCCCCATGTGAAAACCTCGCCTTGTCTTGTCACGAGAGCAACATGCCTTACACCGCAAGCAATCTGATGAACATCGAGAACGACATTCGATTCCAGAGGCCTTGGAGTTAATACATCTGTTCTCACAGTTGTAGAGCTTACACTCCCATCAGGTAATATCCCGTCGCTCCAAACTTCTCCCCAAACATAAACATCGCCTAATGATTCTATATCATCTGGTCCGGACCCTCCACTCGAACAGCTCGGGGTGCTTGAGACGCTGATCCGAAAACCATCAGTACTTGGTCTTAGCATATTTCCACGTTCTGAACCCACATCTGATACTCCCAAATAGAATGCAGGACTTTGAGAACCAAAATCAACAGAAACCCCACACCGGGGAATATTGTTAACGAAGTCTACGGGTGATGTAAAGGATGCACGCCCACTGGTGAAGAATTCACTGTCATGTATCTGAAAGAAATCGACATTTTAATTTTCGGTGTTAAAGATGCGTAACCTGAGTTAAATCCACGTACAGAGAATTGGAAAACGCACCTCGGGTATCTCGCTTCTGGCACGTCTATTCTGTTGTTGTCCAATTAAAGACTTGAGGGCAGCAAACCAAACCTCTGTCTCGGCCTTGTCCTTGCAGATCTGATAAACTGGATTTCGATTTGCTGTCCAAATCGAGGTATAGAAAAGAAAAGAAAATGCAACGATCGAGCAACTTACCAGATCAAGAGACCGTTCTCCGTTGTTATATAAGAGAGAGAACGACAAGTAATCCTTCTCAGGACGCAAATACCTTCGGAAAACAGCCTGAGAAATTAACAAAAACGACAAGTAATCCTCTTAGAATCATTTGCTTTTTGAGCAATAATCGGGTTTAAAGATGTTCTAATACTCACTGTTCTTTGTCCAGGGAGGATTTTTGAAACAGCAGACAACTTCAGATTCTTTTCTCCTCCGTGTGAGTACCAAATCAATGCCGCCTCATCCTGTTGGAAACATGAACACAGGCATCATTCACAAACTGCCATTGCAGAGTGTTGTGTTACGGGGCCCTAATGCAACATGAAAGAACTTAAGAGACGAAATCTGAAGGTCATAGAGAGAATATTTTACTGGAGAAAGCCTGAATGCACGGAATTTCGGCTTCCCTTTCCGACTGTACTTGATTAACTGAGTTCCTTTCTTCAATGTAACGAGTGCCTAACGACAAGAGGGTAAACATTTTGAAACCACATTAGCAGAAATCGCAGCCAAAATGTTCATGTTCATAAGCAATTCAGATGAACTCTCAATGTCTGGTACTTGAAAAGAGATGCATTTCCAGAAACAGAACTAGATTTGCTTCGATTACAAGCACACAGAAACGAATTGCCGATTAGATTAAAAAAAAGTTTGTTTCTTTTGATATTCTGTTGATCTTTCTGATGGATTTGATAAAAAGAAATGGATTTCAAACGGATAATCATCCAGGGATAGTGTTTGATTCATATCTTTTGATAGTTTTCTAAAAGCCATGAAGTTTACGATCAATCTGGAAATCAAAGAGTCCAGATTTCGATCCTAATCGAATTCTGAATTTATTGGGAAAATCAGCTAAAACACCATCGGAAAGTACTCCGATTAGGGTTCTCTGTCCATCCCAATTCATACAATGTAAAAAAAAAAAAAAAGAAGAAGAGGAAGAGAGAGGGGAAATTACTTGCTCGATGTCACGCTCGTGATTGACATGGCTAACAGGATCTGCCATTCCATCTGAGAAATCCGAGAGGAGAACGACGGAGAAGAAGAAAAAGAAGAAGCCCAAGAAGCATCAGGTGGGCTTCACCTGTCTTCATAGATAAATTCGTCGATTCCTCTCCCCTTCCGACTCCGTCACCAGTCTCATCAAAATCCCGCACGAAAAACTCCAACAAATTGTACCGATCAAGACCGATATCGTAATCGATCGGACAAATTTCTCCAGCGAAGGGATTGAGAGAGAAACAACGATCAGAGGATGTGGAAAATGGTATGAGTGGATGTGGAGAGAGAGAGAGAAAGGGAATTTCTGAGGGAAGGTCGCCATTTTAGGGAAGTTTGAAGCTCCACAAGAATTGGGCTCAGATTTTGGCGCGCTTCTCCCATGGCTTCCACGTTTCACTCAAGCTTCCACTTCTTTATGTTTTGAACCCCAAAAAAACATAATTATTTAATGAATAAATTTTCCTCAAATATAAAATTATTAATTATGTCATGTTAGGCAACAAGAACAATTTTTTTTTTTTGTAAAATTATTAAACTTTTTATTTAATAAAACCATAATTATTCCGAGACAAATTAAGAGCTCTACTTTCACCGTATATTTTCAAACTACACAAAAAAAAAACAAAAAAAAAGGTCTAATGAAATGTTTGTAATGAAATCATATATCAATTTGCCAAATTCCCAATACTAAAAAGATACCTTCTGTCACAAGAAATGTTGTATTTTTTTTTGCTTTCAACATTTTCTTACAAAATTATGCAGGCATATATATATATATATATATATATATATATATATATATTATATCATCTGTCTTGCTTAGCTATCATTATCATCTACCATCTCCTCCAAAATGAGGTATTGCAGAGCAATAGAGTATCTGGCAAATTTCTCAGAAGGATCGTTGCTTCTGAGGAGAAATGATCCATTCCCATCACCTTTCAACCACAAACAAGGATCAAAAATGGAGTTTTATGTCAAAAAACCCCATTGATGATCTTCGGACAAACACGCAAGAACGGCAATCTTTCATGTCAGAGACCGAACCTTTTATCGTATATATGGATGGAACCCATCGTTTGTAGATGAACAATGACTTTGGGGGATCTCCATTGCTGGTTTCAGACAAGATAAGCTGGCACGGAGCTTTCCTACTGCAACATTCATGCAGTTTACCACTCATTTGAGAGAGAGAAAGAGGAGATCTCGGAGAGGAAGTAAGTGTCACTCACTTGGCATGAGCTATGGCATTGCGGCACAGAGCGAGTGTACGGACCATCGCCATGTCTCTGGCCCGAGAATTCGTCGGTCTCTCCTTGCGGTTCCTGATAAGTCAGTGGAGAATCTGGATATGAACAAGTCCGGATTCTTTCGAGGGGCAGACTTTTTTTACAAGCATAGGTTCCTGTCTTGTCCAAAATCCAGTTCTATAAACTTAAAAACCGATTGGAAATTCCCGGACTAATCGAGGTTGATGAACGGAAAGCGTACCGATCACTGAAGTAATCGCCAAAATCATCGATTATAACGGCGGCAGGGGTGTTAACATGAAGATGGAATGCAGCAAAGTACTTCCTGATGCCGTCATCATCATCCACATACCTTCAACGAATATCTCAGAAAATCCCCAAACCAAAACCATAAATCCATCTATTTTCTTCCCTAAATTCCAAGCGATTAATGAATTAAAGGAGAGAACTTTGAAAGGATTTTGATCGTATTGTTCCTTACTTCATCTGAATTCGATCAAATACATCAGACGATGAGTCAATTCCCTGGACAATTTGAGTTGGGTTTCATCAAAACAAAACAACATTCACATACAGAAACATACATATATATACACACATAAATGCATACACAGAGATCAATGTGGATGAACGTGGGGAAGATACCTGGCAGAGAAAGGGAGGATTGATCGCCATCCTTCGTTGATGGCAGATGAAGACGACATGAGAACTTGCAGAAACAGAGGAATCACTCGCCACATTGTGAGCAAATTGGAAAAGCAGAGAGGTCTTGCCACTGCAGAGAAGAATCAAGCAAAACAGTGAACACGACAGAGAGATAGATGTCGGAAAAATCAGAGAGAGAGAGAGAGAGATACGAGGAAGGAGGGCCACAGAGGAGAGTGAGAGTCTCCCTCCGGCGATTTCCATGGACGGAGTTTTCCTTCGCCGGGAAGAATCTTCCCGCCATTGTTGTCTATGCTTCGACCCAATCTGAGCCCATATCAAATCTGAGAGAAAAAAAAATCAAAATTTAGCATTTGGGCATCGATTAATCAACAGTACAAAGATTCCCAACAATAACATTTTGCAAAAAAAAAAATACCAAAACAGTTCATCGCAAACTGGAAAAAATGCATACTTGGTGCTGGGTTTGGACGTTCTAGAACCCTAAGTGGAGATGGTAACCGCAAAGTTTTCCCCTTTTTGTTCCCCGTTTTTTTCAACAAAAAAAAGTTTTTTTTTTCTTTAGTCGGCAAATCATTAGCAAAGTTTTAATTTTGAGTTCCTTTTTTGTCACATAATGAACAGAAATTTGAAAAAATAATAATAATCTTTGTGTTAGAAAAAGTTTACACTAACCGATATTATGTATAATCCAAAGTTTTAATGTAGCTTAATAAGAATGTAAGAATAACTAGAATGATTGAATCAAGCAACAAACGGACACAGTCCAATAATGAAATCATTAGTTTATAATTAGTTCAACAGTCACAATCTAAATAACTCTTATATAATAAGCTATTTTTATTTTAGCTTATCAAATAAAAATTAAATAAATGGGTCCTCCTTGGTCCGCTCCCACATGGTGTTTTTGCCAAAATCCTTTCTTATAAAGTTATCATTTTTATGTCTCTTTACAGAGCTCAAAGACACCCTGTTGAATATTTCAGTCCCATGCCCAATCGACCCAACATTGTTCTTTCCATTTTTCTAATGATTTTTTATAATCAAATTGTAATTTTTTTTAAAATGGAAACATAAATCCACCGCCACATAATAGATACCCAATGAATGAATCACAAATGATTTCAGAAACAAAAAAAAAATGAGAAATAGAAGATTGAGTTGAAAACATATATTGTAAAGTGCCAAGTTAATGCATTTATTTATACATATATTAATTTTCCGAATATATGAAATATTAACTTAATTATAAAGCTTGCGAGTTTGCAATAAAAAGCCATAAGCGTTTCGTGGAATTTCGATTCTGCCATCCTAACGAAGTTAAGCCAACCCCTTTTGTTCCCCTCTTTATCCAAAAGCAGTGGCATATTAGTAATATAATCATTATACCGAGGGTTAATAGTAATCAGAAACAAAGAAAAGAATCAAAAACACCCCCCACAAAAAAATTCTATTGCTCAGTAATATTATATATAAATACCCATTTTATCCAACATTTCATTTCTTTGCAAGAAAGCCCCCAACCAAACAAAAAAACAAAAGGTACAGAGTGCCGAACAAAAGATCTCTTTCTTTCTTCATTCATTCATTCGTTCATCCAATGCCGCCATTGAGAATCAACAAGAAGCTAAAACCAGCCAAAAGGGCATGGAAAAGCTTCACAGAAATGCTCAAATCCAAATTCAGAGACCTTGAAATCGCTAAATCGATCAGAGACTCCACTTCTCGGGTCCTCGAGTTCCTCTCTCGCCGTCTCGTCCTTCCGTTCAAGACAAGGTACCTCAAGAACACCAGTTCCCGAACGCACAGGTTCGTCTCTCTCCCTCTCTCGCATTCTGGTCACTTCTATCAAGAGGAAAGCGCCTAAAATGTTCCGACATCTGCAGATATAGGTACAAGTACAACGATAACAGCTACAGGTACATGCAAATCCAGCAATACCAAAGGCAACCGGGCAGAGATTGTTCGGATTCGTGCGTGGCGGATAGATTCTACAAGGGGGGAGAGGGGGTGAGAAAGAGAAAGGAGAAAGTTGAGGGGCGAAAAGAGGAAAAAGGGGAAGAAGAGGGGGAGGGGGAGGAGACAGTTGATTCAATGGAAGAAGCGTGGAGAAGAGTGGTGGCTGCTTCTCCGCATCTGAGAGTGGACGAGAGGGCTGAGGAATTCATCTGTAGGTTCCGGGAAGAGATTCGGATCGACAAGGAGAGATCTTTTCTTGAGTTCCAAGAAAGGTTGAAACGAAGTGCTTGATTCTTCTTCTTCTTCTTCCCCATTACTCTTGTGTGTGTGTTTGTGATTTTTTTTTTTCCTTTCTGAAAAAAAAAGAATGGGGGATTTGATTTGATGATATGTGGGTGGGAAATGTAAAGAAAGGTGTGATTTTTAGACCCAAATTCAGAGACAAAAACTAATTACAACTATACATTTTCATCTTCTTCTGTCGAGAAATTTGATTAAAGAACATTTTTCTTTCAGATATTCATATAAAGTTTCTTCCTTTTCGGGGTTTGAAAGGAAAAGAAAAAGAGGGTGTTCGGGCATTGCTGAGAATTGACACGATTGAGTGAGATTCAATGCAAAAAAAAAAAAAAAAAGCTAAGAACTCGAAGTCTTTATCTGCATCATGAAAACGTTATTACAGCCATTGTAAAGTAGCAAAGAGGAAGAAAGGGAACAGATTCCATCAGACATGCAAATAATGGAGTTCAGACTTCAATTTTTTGGTTCCCTCTTACAGAGATGCATCATCATCATCATCATCAATCATCATCATCATCAATCATCATGCAATGCCAACTAATTCCAGTCTCACCTTCAACTACCCTTTTCCATAAAGAATCCACTAACACCCTGAAGAAGAAGAAAAAGAAAAAAGCCAAAGAATTTCCAGCTCTGCACCAAGAACCAGAGACTAGTGCAGAAAATCCTTCATCGGATCCTCGTGATGAATCTTCTTCATCCGGTACGCTTCCATCTCTTCGGGTGTAACCTGAAATGGAAATTCATGTCCGAAATCAGGGCGTAGATTTGTGATGAGGAAGCAGAAACACCAACTCTAATGCTAATGACCATACCTCATCATCCCATTGGACGTTGTACTTGCGTTTTCTTTCGTCTTTCTCTTCTCTCCTCCTCTCATCCTCCTGTTGGAACAATGGCGTCAAGGGGAAAATCTCTCGAGGAAGAGAATGTAAACTATACAGCGAAAATTCATCAGGTTGAGAATCTGAGCTCCGGAATTTTACCTTCTTCAGGGCCTCAGCCAGTTTTTTCTGGTCAAGAACAAGATCTTCTCCTACATCACTTCCCCAGGTTGCAAGTCTTTTCTCTTCCACCGGAACAGATGTCCCTGCGTCCAAATCGCCATCAAAAGATTCAAAACTCGAAAAGAGAAACCCGAAAAAAGAATACCCAGAACTAAATGCAGAATCTTTGTTCATCCTTGGCCAGGGAAAAGGGAAAACTCT